AATATGGTTTATTCTTCTCGGTACCATAACCGACTATGAGAACGCCATGGTTCAGCATAAATGGTTCGCAGAAGATCTTCCACGGATGTGTGATTCCATGGCGATAGAACTGCAGTGGATTGGCATTGATACCTAAATTAGAACTATAATATGAAATGTTATGTTGACGAAAATAATTGATAAAAAAGGTGATCAAATTGAAGGAGAAATAAGTAATACTAATTCAAAGGGCTGAGCAATCTTTGCTTTGCTGTCTACGAAATCATTCAACGATTTCTGTTTGGATTTCGTTCATTGAGCGCGGAAAGTCAAACACACCCACGGATTTCGTATTCACTCGGGTGATTTCACCAGATGACGCGAATTTAGCCTTGTCATTCCTCTTATCTCATTTTTTCAGTATTCTTCTTAGTCTTCGCAAATGTTAAAAGATGCTCCCGAAATCTTATATAGTGTTAGCGAAACAGGATAAAGTCACAAAAAAGTGAAGTTGTAAATTCCTTTCTTTGTGGTGATGACGTTTTTGCTGGTTATATTTACCGCTTACGTATGCTCAGTGGCGCCAAATGCGCGTTCCTGGGCCAGATCTTCACTCTCGAAGAAATATTTTGACGATATAGTCGTGATCCCTACAAATGATAGGGCTGCAAAGGGGCTCGGGTTAGAGCCCGCTGCCAAGGCGACTCCTTCTAGCAATGATATTACCCTGAGTGCGCGGGAAAGGCTGCTTTAGCTGTGCTACAGCCCACGCCCCTTGTAGGAATCGTAACTGTACATCACACATTGTTTTGCTTGTTTACTTCGTTTTAATGAGATTTTTTCAGAATCGAACGAATCATCCACGAAAATGCACCATCGAAAGCAACGCAGTGGAGCCGGAACGGCAACATCACAGATTAGTCGTTCTCCTCGACCAGAAAGTGACACTATGGGCAGACTACGGTGAGGATTTGTGACAAGAAATGTACTAAACGAAAATACCCGCTGCCAAGGTGACAGAAGTGCAGCATTTTTAACAGCATCAGTGGAATTAACGCAGTAGCTGAGGCCAGTGTCCACGGTCTACGACCCTACGAGAAAACTCTTTTGCAAAAAGTTTTCGACACTTATCGACAGGCGGAGTCGTCGGAGCGAGCTTGCGAGTATGGCGCCTCCGCGAAAAGGCTAGATACATATCGATCTGGAGAACCGGCGCTTCGCCCGCAACCCCTTATCCACACTTCTCTTGGAAGAGATCAGAGAAATCGATGCTTGTATAGCTCTTTTCGCGCTGGTGTCGAATTCGACGGCGCTCCGCCAGAGCGCCGTCGAATTCGACACCAGCGCGAAAAGAGCTATACAAGATGATCTCCCGGTCAATACGTCCTGATTTCTTCAATGATCTCCCGGTCAATACGTTCCTGATTTCTTTTCGCCAGCTCATTCCATTCTCTGGGGTCACAGACTGTGAAAAAGGTCTAGGCAGTTTCGCGTCGCACTTCGGGATTTGGTAGATGAGTCGGTACGGAACACGCCTGGGAGAAGAGACAATACTTACCGAAGCACGGATTATCCCTGTGTGTAAATGCGTGGGCCAAATCACATCGAAGTGAGTGAAAGGGATCTACTGCTCGACCGTGGTGTATCTGCATCGCCTAACTCGGCACAGCACTCCGAGACGGGTACGTGACAAGAGAATCGTTATTCGCCGCGCTGGTGCGTGCGACGTCGCGCCCGCAAATGACGATGGTTCCAGGTAGTAGATGGCGACAACAGGCAATTCAGAACCGAAAATAGTCATGAATGTCTACGATGACGGGGTCTACATGAAGTCCGGTGCTCCAGTCGACAGGTTAACACGAGTTAAGAAAACGCCGCGCCCATCGCCGCGCGCGGCGGAGCGGCAAATTACAATACTCTTGCCCGTCTACCCTCCGAAGCCATCATTTCTGATAGTTGTGTAAAGGTATCTATCCCCTTTCTCGTTAGATTACAAAATTTGGAAAAAATGGTATGATGGTGGGTAGAGTTCAGGTCGTGAAAAGAGAATCGTATAGAAACTTTCCCTCAAGAGGTCTTACTAGTAGCCCTACCAGCACTACCATTTTCTTTGCACATCCCGACGATGTATAGCCTTGTTGGCTGCGGCTGTTGGGGCATTTCAGGGAAGAGGCTGTGTTTGGCGCGACAGCAGCCAGTTTTTCATCAATTGTGGTCGCCTGCCAACACCCACAAATAGTGCGAAACCAGCTGGCGCCAAACCCATCCCCGAAACGCCCTAACATTCGCGGCGAACATTAATGGACCCTGCTCCTTACGGATTTGCCTTCATGTAAGAATCACAAAGGTGTTCGAATAACACATTGAACTGAGAAGGACTGGGAGGGGGGGGGGGGAATATGGGATCAATGGCTCCGTTGGCCTCCTCGTCCTTGTGGGCAAGGAAGGAGCCGGTTAGCCAACATTTGAGGGATATGAGGCTTCGTTGTTGTCGAAACAGATACTATCCGCTTTGATGCGCACTCAAAATATCACATTTTCCTCCAATTTTTTTCGCGGGCGGGTAGAAAGAACTTCTAAAGCCACAGCGTGATTTGTAGAGTTCAGCAAGAATTCAAAGTGGCAATTTGTTCAAAATTTTTGAAGCAGAACATGTTTACTATAATATTTCAAGTGCGTCAAGGAAGGCGCACTTTGCTTACAGTACATGCTCACTTCACAATGTAGCTCCGCCGACATTAATATATAAATCGAAGCGAAAGAGCGTGAGTAATCAAACACGATGCCAATCCATTCAGGACCATAGATCCTTCATTTCAACCGTTTAGATTCTCTACTGGTAGCCATTGTCATGTGCATGATACGACTAGTATGTTGGCTTGACAGTTTCATTCGGAACGAGCTCTGGCATTTTCTCACAGCTCCGGCAGCAGAGCTAGATTACACGTACGCTATAGCTTTTTAGGCGTTACTCTGATTCGAAGAGTACTTCTTGAAGGTCCCAGCTTAATAGGCAACGTTGATGGAACTGTTTAGCCGCACGTTCGGTCGACGGGGGGGCGGCATTTGCACATTTGGTACTTCCATGGACTGTCGACCCATTCATAGAACAACAATAAAGTCACCGCAGAGTGAGACTTCTAAACCGGCAAACTAGTGAAGCGACAAAAGTGTCGGCCAAAATGTCCCCTCCTATCGCCGAACCTAGTGCCGGCTGGTTTACTTTGGGGAATTTTGGGAGTCCCCGAGGGGGGGGTGGGTGTGCCAAAACTTGGACTAACTTCATCCGAATAGAATAAGTCTTGTTCGCTGCGGATGATGGGGCGTGTCAAAGAGGGATGGGTTCGGCGGGGAGCTAGCTCGCCCTTTTTGGCTAGTTTGCGGACGATATGGAACCATGATCGTTCAAGACATTTTCGCCACGTTGTCGTTTACAAGTGGTGGAGAACGGGCTGTAGTCGCACCAAACCCATTCCCACCCGACACGACCCATCGCTTGCAGCGGACAAGATGGTCCCGTACTCTCTATTAGTTCAACCGTCTCGGAACTCCTTTCCTTTTCGGCAAGGGCAAGCGAATCTCTAAAGTAGCAAGAAACCTGCGCAGTCCGACTAGCATTATTCTATCCCTGAATACATTTCCTCGTTATTCAGGTCACAGTCATGCGGACATGAAGTAACCAGAGAAAGACAGAAGACCCGAGTCAGAACAAGGCCCCGATCGACGGCATGCTCCCGAGCTAGAAGAGATATCTGGGCTCACTCGAGATCGCCAGAATCGAACTACAGAAAAGCATACCGCCTTCATCTATGTTACTGAACTACGTGGTCCCTAACTTAATTGTCTATTTCACTTATATTGTGCCTGCTTACTGTACTGCTGAAATTTTTTCATCGATTTCAATGAATCACTAAAGCAGTTACCTTCACGAAATCAGGGCAACAAAGGGATAATATTCGAAACTCGGAAATAGGAATTCCAGAAGAACTACGGGGCGCACCTGTCACACGTTTTCACTGTTATTTATAGCAGTTAAGCAGTTTGCAAAGGGTCAATGCAAATAGCAATGAATTGTGACCAACCGATCGATATTGGTCCTTTCTTGACCAGCCATGCTCTCATGCTTTCCTCATCATGTGGCAGCTCCTACTGAGTCGTTGATATACACAGCGATCTCCTAAACTGATGATTTTGAATTGTTAGCTAGTCGATAAAACAGATCGATGTGCTTTATCTTTACAGATTTCGGCTCTAAAGTAGTTGAGGGCAGTGGACAACGAGGTCGGGCCACGTCCATTTTACGCTAGTCTGCGCTCTTTCAACGAGATGCGCTTGGCAAGCTTGGTTGACTTGAATGAGGACGCAGACGGACAGAAAAAGGGTGTGGCATGGTCTCGCCGCCCATCGGCTGCCCCTCCACTCCCACTACGTTATTTTGAAAGCTTCTTACAGCAAAGCATATTTATATTTGTATTGTAAAACTTGTAATACTTACAGAGCGAACAATGTGACATTTCTCTCCCTTGCCATCGTATGGATATGCGTCTTCTGGTTCCAATCCACCCATCCGAATAATTTCTCTGCAAAAAAACATCTATTGCCCAACACATTTAAGGGTCTCTAAATTATTTCACGCTAGAAGTCGTGCCATAAAGCGGCCTTGTGCTGGCGTAAAATATGTTGAGTATGAGGAGATCCAGAAGGTTCAAACCAACTTGTAAGCCTGACTAGGGAGTCCACCGTTACATCCCTGATCGATGATATCACAGTCGACAAGTTCCTGTTCTGAGAGCGACACCAGCTTGTTTTTAGCCAGGAACCACTGACCTTCAATGTTTCCAGTGGTCGAAAATGCCCAGCAGCTTCCACAGCTACCTGAAATCCGTTCTTCATTCTACAGTAGGGATGCTTGGCCTGCTCAGAAAATACAGTGTGTTTGCTCGTCCTGTGCTGACGTTGTTGGACATCCGTCATGAAAGGAGGGGGCTTACAGGAGACGGTGGCCTGCCCTCGTCTTATAGGCTTCCCCTCCTTCTCGACAGCTTGTCATAGGCAAGCACCTTTACCAGGATGGACAGCAAGACCCGTGTGGGATTGCGCGCTAGCATAACCACTGTGCCATCTTCTGTGGTGCCAGTGTCGAGCACGAAGTACTGGCTTACTTATTTGTGCGGGGTCTCGCTTCATTTTCTTTGACTATCGCGAGGAAATCCCCACTCTTCCTCCGTGATCGGTTCATCCGATGGTCGAGTGAGCTTGCAATTCTGCTTGCTTAACTTACACAATGAGTACAGACGACCCACATTTGCTTCAACGATGTTTTTCAGCAATGATAAAATCAGATTCGCCTGACGAAAATGAACAGAATCGCGTCTACTCACGAGCTATAAAACGCATATCGAGCGAAATAGAGATATGAGGGGTATATAGAATATTGCCAGAAGCGCGTTATGAATGTGCTACTGTGGGGGGACGAGAACTGTACACATAATGCGTCAGGCCATAATGGGTGCCACCACTTGTGCACAAAAAAAGATGCAGTGTCTTCGCAATTCTCCTGCGAAGAGGTGCCAGCGAAGGGGGGTTGGAGGAGGTGTTGTTAGAGAGCTTCTGGTGCAACGCCTCACATGTTTTCTTCTACGTAGCGACAAGAACTAATAGGCAAAGCGCCTTTCCGGGAACCGACCCCTTGCGACGTCGCTCACCGCGTACCTCCTTTCTCCCTGCAGGTACGACTGATATCGCATATCTCTTCTGCACTACCACGTTTCGCTCTCCTATATACTCGTTTCGCAAGATAGAGCGGTACTCCATACAGAGAAACGTTTGAGGAAGGCTGCGCTCCAGCTGCCGTTCAGCGCCGAGTGAGAATAGTGAAACTCTGCACACCGTTTCCCTCGCATAATCAAATCCCGTTGCAATTAAACCACATTCTAACGCCGGAGGAGTGTGCAGTTTCACTTGCCGAACGGTTTTGAGAGCGCTTCTGGGATTTCATACCCATTTACCCAAGGACGATCAGACTCACAAATCTGAAAGATTGGCACTTTCTTCGAGGTAGAAGTGGTTTCTCATCGTGCGTCGGCTAGTCCTGGGCATCCTTGCACAACTGTCACCTGTCCTGCCAGGACAAAGCCATCGTACAATCGTCCTCGACAAAGCCACATCGCGATAAACAGCGCGCTGCAGCATGTCCGAATTTATTTCGCGCGCGCCTTTCTCATCTCCGCATTATGGAGGTAACCCATATGCCACAAGCGCCAACCATACCCACTGTGGTACCGCGGAGGTTGTCTTGGCGCCCCGCTCCTGTATGTCTCTTCAAAATGGAATCGTGTTCTATAAGAATAAATGTTCGCAGCTGTTGCTGCTGCATACTGGGCAGCAACACATTGCACACAGGAGCAGCTTTTGTTAGCGGCACGTGCTCAAACATGAGCTCCATTTGCTTGTAATGTTTGAAACGAGCGCGATCACCCACCCGCAGATCAAGAGTGGTTGCATACCGATCAATAGGGTGCACGGTATCGATTGGCACTCTGTATTGGGGCATGGAGGCCATACTCCGCCCCCCCCCTCCTCTGACGCACAGTTAGAAGGGGATCCCCAATGAGCGACTTTTGAGTTTATCGATTTCCTTGTATGTTTGCCCACACAGATCCACCCCACCACTAGTTGATCTCTAGGCATCTTAGATTAAAAGATTATTTGGACATAGCGAATCGATGGAAATAGAATACCTTGGTTTTCACGCCGGGTGCACCGCCAGGGGTGATTCTTGCATCGAACGAGTGTCTACTCTCCGTGTGCTCTATTCGGCTGTCTCAACATCGATTCCCTCGGCAGGCCAAATCGCGATGTTCGCACTTCGGGGAAATGGCGCTGTTCTCATGGATACGGCAGATACGCATCTGACAGGATGAGAGCTTTTATTCATTCTGTCCTGTGCTGACTTGTTGGACATCCGTCATGAAAGGAGGGGCTTTACAGGCAAGACGGTGGTCCTCCCTCGCTATAGGCTTCTCCTCCTTCTCGGACAGCTTGTTCATACAAGCAACCTTTACCAGGATGGACAGCCAAGACCCGTGGATTCGCGCGCTACATACCACTGTGCCATCTTCTGTGGTGCCAGTGTCGAGCACGAAGTACTGGCTTACTTATTTGTGCGGGGTCTCGCTTCATTTTCTTTGACTATCGCGAGGAAATCCCCACTCTTCCTCCGTGATCGGTTCATCCGATGGTCGAGTGAGCTTGCAATTCTGCTTGCTTAACTTACACAATGAGTACAGACGACCCACATTTGCTTCAACGATGTTTTTCAGCAATGATAAAATCAGATTCGCCTGACGAAAATGAACAGAATCGCGTCTACTCACGAGCTATAAAACGCATATCGAGCGAAATAGAGATATGAGGGGTATATAGAATATTGCCAGAAGCGCGTTATGAATGTGCTACTGTGGGGGGACGAGAACTGTACACATAATGCGTCAGGCCATAATGGGTGCCACCACTTGTGCACAAAAAAAGATGCAGTGTCTTCGCAATTCTCCTGCGAAGAGGTGCCAGCGAAGGGGGGTTGGAGGAGGTGTTGTTAGAGAGCTTCTGGTGCAACGCCTCACATGTTTTCTTCTACGTAGCGACAAGAACTAATAGGCAAAGCGCCTTTCCGGGAACCGACCCCTTGCGACGTCGCTCACCGCGTACCTCCTTTCTCCCTGCAGGTACGACTGATATCGCATATCTCTTCTGCACTACCACGTTTCGCTCTCCTATATACTCGTTTCGCAAGATAGAGCGGTACTCCATACAGAGAAACGTTTGAGGAAGGCTGCGCTCCAGCTGCCGTTCAGCGCCGAGTGAGAATAGTGAAACTCTGCACACCGTTTCCCTCGCATAATCAAATCCCGTTGCAATTAAACCACATTCTAACGCCGGAGGAGTGTGCAGTTTCACTTGCCGAACGGTTTTGAGAGCGCTTCTGGGATTTCATACCCATTTACCCAAGGACGATCAGACTCACAAATCTGAAAGATTGGCACTTTCTTCGAGGTAGAAGTGGTTTCTCATCGTGCGTCGGCTAGTCCTGGGCATCCTTGCCCACAACTGTCACCTGTCCTGCCAGGGACACAAGCCATCGTACAATCGTCTCGCAAACGCCACATCGCGATAACAAGCGCGCTGCAGCCATTGTCCGAATTTATTTCGCGCCCCGCGCTTTCTCATCTCCGCATTTATGGAGCGGTTAACCCATATGCCAACAGCGCCAACCATACCCACTAGTGGTACCGCCGGACGCTTGTCTTGCGCCTCCCCCTGTCTGTCTCTTCAAAAATGGAAATGTGTTCTATAAGAATATGTCGCAAGCTGTTGCTGCGCATACTGGCAGCAAACATTGCACGACGAGCAGCTTTTGTTAGCGGCACGTGCTCAAACATGGGCTCCATTTGCTTGTAATGTTTGAAACGAGCGCGATCACCCACCCGCAGATCAAAGAGTGGTTGCATACCGATCAATTATTGCACGGTCGATTGGGCACTTGATATGGCATGGAGGCCATACCTCCGCCCCCCCCCCCCTTCGACACAGTTTAGAAGGGGAATCCAATGACGAGTTTACGATTTCCGGTATTTGCCCACACAAGATCACCCCACACTAGTTGATCTCTAGGCTATCTTAGATTAAAAGATTATTTGAATTAGCGAATAATCGGGAAATAAGAATACCTTGGTTTTCACGCCGGGTGCACCGCCAGGGGTGATTCTTGCATCGAACGAGTGTCTACTCTCCGTGTGCTCTATTCGGCTGTCTCAACATCGATTCCCTCGGCAGGCCAAATCGCGATGTTCGCACTTCGGGGAAATGGCGCTGTTCTCATGGATACGGCAGGTAGATCTGACAGGATGGAGCTGTTATTCATTCTTGAGTCAGTTCTGATATTTCTTAAGAAGGAAATGTGGTTATTGAGTATGGAACTATGGGGGTTACTGTCTGATTTATAGTGGGGCTGTCTCTTCAGAGACATGTGTGGCGATCAGGTAACTCAAATTAAGGTACAGTCTTGTGCGCTGCGGATTCTAGGGCGTGTTAAGGGGCTGGTTTTGGCACGGTGCCTGTTTGTTTTCCATCAGTTGTTGTCTCGCTTGCCTGCTTAAACAACTGGTGGAAAGCGGGCTGACGCTGTGTCAAACCCAGCCCCCTAGAAAGAGCCAGCATCCAGCAAGCAGGACTATAGCCATTCGCGTGTGTTGTAATCGGGTCCCTACACAGATGTCGCCATTTGCGGTTTGAATCGTTACCACGCTAACACGCTAAAGACCTATAAAATTCCCCTGAATTCTCAATTCCCTTCACATAAAAGCAAAATCTTTCCAGAGACTAAAACACGTCTCCCTAGAAACTGAAATGCGCTCTCTCGGGGGAGCCCAGGTCCTCAAGTTCCTTATTTGCTACTCCTGCTGCGCTATAAAGAATCATCCTGCGAGGCGGACATCATGCAGGTTGCTTAATACGACCCTCGCTCAAGAGTTCTTCTCCAGGTACGACCCCGATTCCCCCTCCCTTTCCCATCCTACTTCTGTCTTCTTACATGTTGCCAACCTCCTACCAACCTCCCCGGAGTTACCGAAAAGGTTATTCTTTCAGTGGGAAGTACGAACCCTCGCTGGGGATCGCTAACGTACGACGTGCTCTGCTTTTAGGCCTTGCTTGCCATAAAGCTTTTGCCCCTACGAACTAATACACAAGCGTTTGCTTTACCACCTGGTGGTACAGCATAAACGGTACCGCGTGGCTTTCGTCAAACTACTATCAAAACTCTAAAACAGAATTTTTTTTCGAAGGAAAAAGTTAGAAGAAATGGTAGTTTTACCTTTTTGAATTCTTCAGGTGAAAGATCAGAAAACTGTGTGATCCCGTAAACAGCCGTGCCTTCTTCGTTCTCTTGCCAAGTGCGGATTGCCTGGAATAAAGAATCATTTGAACGATGCCATTTCATTTACTGCGCTCAGTGCACTGGTGAAAGGAAGGTTCTGGGAAACTCTCCCGGCTCTGACAAGCATCTGTTACAGCGTGCAAGCGACAATAACTGGTAGGAAACGAGCCTCAGAGCCTATTCCGCGCCAAACCCAGCCCGCTGGAACGCCCCAGCATCCGATCGAACAAGATTATACTTACTTTCAAATTCCGCCTGAAGATTCGAAATCGCTTCAGCGCTTCACGTTTGTTACTGTAGATCTTATTGTGCCTGCAATCAAAGGATTGATCGGAATTCTACTATGCGCTCGGAATTTCATTACTTTATCGCGTCAATAACAATGAAATACAGTGTCAGAGTCATTGCTTATGTAGGCGGAGCCGGACATGCCATCGCGTTTTTCTCACAGGCCCAAAAGGTACGCACAAATAAGGATGCAAAATGGCAGGACATGGGTCGACTCCGCCTACATGACCAGTGTGGAAAAATGTATCGAATACTTTCCAAAGGCATATCAAACCGACTACATTCTTTTGACTAATAGTAAGGATCGGACCTGTCGATGAAGTCGGTGAATTGATTCCAAGCCACATAGTCTTTCGGCTTGATGTGCCGGCTGAGCCGTGCGTACTCGATAGGCCTTTTCCTGTAAAACTGATAAACTGTCATACATCAGAAGTTGGTAAGGAAGGATAACGTTGTTGACATTGAATAAGTCGTTTGGGATACGCCATGCATTCCGTTCCCCAGTCGGAATCGTACACGTAACTGAACATGCCTGGAGCTCAAAAAAAGTTTGTAGCATCGTTTAGTTCTACTGCGCGCTCAGTAGCAGATCTCTCGACGATAAAGAGTTCATTCCGACAAGGAGTATGGTAGCAGAACTGAGTCACGCTCAGATCGACGACAGAGCGAGAGATAGCCGTCGTACCTGCAGCGCCACTTTTACCGCGCGGCCTTATCTCGGATCTCTTGAGCACCCTTGGCGGAAGCACTCAGCAATAATTCCCTCGAGCATACCCTTCTCTTTGAAATTTTCCAGGCTTCAAAAAATTCTGGAAGTGCTTCAGCGAGCAGGTTACCATGCTATTATGAAAAGCTAACAAAGGCAGTTCGATTGAGGGTAATATAGTGGTAAAGCGATTCTCCCAAGCCCAAGTCCGACCAGGCTCTCATGTTTTCAAAGCTGAGCCTCACGCCGTCCATCGGCGAAAGTGGAACATGCCTTCGAAGACCTCTAAGTTTCGATGTGAAAACGGGTGCTGACAGGCTAGGTGGTGGCACCAAATGGTTCTCAGCGAAGCTTTTACAGGCACCCTTGCGAAGACCCGTAAAGTCCTTTTACTCAAGGAAAGGATTTACTTGTGCCACTTCGCAAATTCACAGAAAGTTAGCTAACATCAACTAGCAAGCGGAACTGTTGGAAGTACAAAATGCCCACTCTCCCCATACCCTAAACCAAACAGGGCTTAAAAGTGAATCAGATATATCCCTTTATTTCAACACACGTAGTAGCCAGAGCTCAGCTCCAATCCGGAATCTCCAATAGTGAAATTCTTGAAAAAAAGTCCAGAGAAGCTGCCCCTCGGGAAATCATTGAAACGTGATGGATGGATGATATTGCACTTGTCTTTTCATGGATTTTAGTCTTTTATCAACAGCATGATAAATGTTGCTCGAATGATGGAACGACGTGGACTTTTGAAGGCACAATCTTACTCGCAGCGGATGTTGAGATAATTTGCGTCAAGGAGGATAATTTGGCCGGCGCCAGCCCGATTTTTTCGTTTGCTTTTCCTACTTTCGGCACGCGAGGAGACTGTATCATATAATTCAGTGTGTTATTATATTGTGCCTCACGAGGTTTTTAGGTGGAACTATTTATTTAGCGGCCTGACGTTTCGACTAATCGTCTTCTTCAGAGGCCTTTGTTCTACCGTAGACGCGGAAATCCGCTATTCCATAAGTCAACCAGTAGCGAATCTTATGGAATAGCTGATTTCCGCGTCTACGGGCCTCTGAAGAAGACGATTAGTCGAAAAGTCAGGCCCTCGTGAGGCGCAATAGAACACATTGAATTATTGAAAACTAACATGCCGAGGTTACAAGAAGAGAGAAGCTGAAGAGTACTGTATCATATCGTTCTTATCGTTCGTTTCCACCAATTTCGCTAACCCGTTTGAACATCTGGTGGATAATGGGCTGACGGGTCGCCAAACTCATCCCTACTGACACGGCCCTTCATCCGCAGCGACAAGTCTGAACGTTGTGGCGTTCACGAATGAAAGCGGACGTACTCAGCGACTTTCTCTATTGGGAACCTTATCTCACCTCAACAGCCATGGAATGCTATTCGAGCATGGAAAAGTGAAGTTAAAGGCAGGGGGATTTAAAAAAATCGAGAAGGTTGAAGGATCACCTTCAAGCTGCATGTAGGCCACTTATGTCTTTCATCCGGGTGGCCCCCGCTGCTTGGGTAGGGTGAACGCAGATAAAACGCTTGCACGATTCTGAATAGATGAAATACGATTGCTGGTCGTATTCCAAAAGAAGTGATCAGGGCCGAGCGCTCGTTAACCTTCACGCTTTGAAGGGATATAGAAGAATGGGTGAAACGAGGCGGAAATCTTACGATTCTTTAATCATTCGTTTTGCTCGCCTGTACGGTTCCTCACAGTGTCGAATTTCGATGTTCTCGTAGTTCTCCCAAGCTCGATGTTCACCTTGGGCGGTGCATTTCTGAACAGAAAATGAAATAGATCAAGAAAATCCCTTAAAAATGTTTTCGAGAAAAGACGACGGGTTCCCGGTCTCTACTCAAAAACGAAAAGCTCCTGGTTTTTTTTCTACAACTTTTATGAAATTCAGTTACCTCTGGTAGAGGTTCAATGCAGTCTGAGCATTCCAAGTAGCATTTCGAGTAAAGTTATGGTGGAAAGGCTTTACTCTAAGTCGTTGCCCCCCCCCACCCACTTCGTAACACGCCCTCCACGTGATCGGAACGGCATAACAGAGTACTCCTCACCTCATTCCAGTTAACTGTTTTGATTTAAGAAATCGTCCTTTCTTCCCTAGGTTCAAGACCGGGGCACACCCTGCCGGTGGGAGAGATTCGCATAAGACGACCCTCTCAAATTCACTCCCTCCCTGGTAGGTGGCCCCTCCTTCCGCATGCCTTTATTTGCGCACCATTCTCTAAAAATTCTGCACTTCCCTCCCTTTTTCCCGAGCGAGTTTCGAACCTTTCCTCGAGAACCCTATACTTTCTCCCCAAACGTGCCGTCGATGGGAGGTGGATAGGGAGAGGGCGACGGTAAGTGAGAATTCTTTTCAAAGGATGTGTCAAAGAGGGAGAGGAGCAGGGGGCGACCTACTGGCGAGATCCCAAAGAAGAGGAGATCATGTTGAGCCCCTGCGCGCGATGTGTCGATATGGTCAGGATTACGGTAACCCCCTCTGGCGGTGGGTGGCGAGAGAGATCAAAGGTACTGATATTTGCCCCTAGGCGATGGAGAACACCCGCCAATTTCCCCTCAGGCTAAGTAGAGGACCTATAAAAGAAAGACTGAGGGTCCAGGAGTAGTCCTGCAGTTCTTGAAGGTTTTTTTAAACTTGGTCTACGCTCTCCCTCTCTCTCTCTTGCGGTAACCCCTCTCTCTCTTGCCAGGGGTCTCGCCTGGGTTTTTCCTGCTCCTGCTCCGCTCCAGCTCCAGAAGCTGGATTGATCTTCTTTGTGTATAGGCTAGATTGTACTAACTATTGTTCTCATCCGTTGTTGTCGTTTTTTTTGTTCCTAATAAATTTATTTTTTTCCGTCGTGTGGCGTCCATTCGAAGGAGTCAAGTCACACCTGGAACTATCCCAGGTTGTACAGACGCCATTTTTGTTGGGGATCCCCGACAATGATGTACCTTTCATATTCCCCCTTGTATGCTCACACCCAAGTGGTTGTGCTCAGTAAACAAGCTCGTCATCGGTTTTACTACCGCCGCTGAAGCAGTTATTACCCCCTCCCCCTCTTTCTGCCAACCCTCTCAAAAAGCAGGCAAACAACTAATCGGGATTAGTGGTCGGGCAAGCGTCAGATCCATGCGGAAAGAGAGTAATAGATCAAAGTAAGACAGCCGTAGCAGCGGAAGTGAATACTGATGAGGCTAACCTTCAGTCGATCCGTGTGTTTACAGTCCGTACGAGACAGCTGGGAGCCCTGAAAAATTGAATAATTTACTAATTCGTCAGTTATTTCGAAGTCACTGTGCTTCACTGGAACCTACATTTGCTTCTTACAAAATAATGGAACAAATAAAAGCGCTGTCGGCTTGGGTTTGGTATTTTGTTTTTATGGCAACCGACTTGGTCCTGTGAAGCTGCGCAAGTAAGCTTTTTTGCTTACAAATTTCTCGAGTCTTCGAAAGGTAACTTGCCCAGTATTTGGAGAATACTATTCTCAGTCTACACTAAACCGATCCGCGCCGAAACAAACCAAGTAGTATGTGGTTTTTGATCCAGAGTAGGAGTACATGAGCTTCAACTGCCCAATGGCTCCCTAATTGTGAGTACCTTGAACCCAGGTTTCACCCTTGGGGCTAGATGTAGAAGAGGCCGACTAGGGTATGCCGCTTTCGTCCTATGAAATCACGAGGAAAAGATGCTATAATCGCGCAGCATAGGGCGCATTCCACCCTAGGCGCAAAGTTCCTCCTCCCCACCACTCCATAAATGCGCTCGTTTTCAACATGCAGAAAATGACAAACCCTTGAGCGAAAGTGATGCGCTAAGGGGAAGATGATACCTTTGGGATACCAACAAACGGGAACTCATCTGTATCCCACTGCCATATGCTTGGGCAGCATTCGAAAATAAAGAGTTTACGTCAGTTCTCGATATTTTCAATTCAGTCAAAGCCGCGGGAACAGTAATATTCCTGTGAGGAAAGCGGGCAGTACCGACCGTTTGTCAAGGGTTCAAGCTATTTTCAAGTTTATTTGGGGTACTGTAAGCTCACCATTTTTCGGCAGTCAGTTTGTACAAGTGTTAACTGCATATTGTATTGAATGCCGTTGTGCATTTGTTGATGGACTTGATCGATTGTATAGACGTCCCATCGGTACAGATCGTTTGACTTCGCATTGTAGTCGTTAACTGCTTTTTGGGCCAAATCCTTAAGAATACGAATGTAAGTGGCAGAATCACTTGGGAGCCTACAGAACTTAGTTGACATTGCATTCCGTGGGAAGGTGGTGACAGCAGGCGTGGATAAGCCCGCCGGCTGCGTTTTCTACCAATAGTGGCCGATGGGATAATACAGCCAGTGGTAGAAAACGACGCGGCGCGGTCCATCCACGCCTCCTGACCCCGCCTTACTGATTGCGACGATATCAGCTGTAAATATACGGTAAGGCTCAACAAACGTTGGATAAACATCTGACAAACAGTGAAACCTCCAACTAGTTCAAGCTGGTCACAGGGGTGGGGTCAGATGAATCATTGTACCCTCCTACTGCCCCTCCTTTCCAGAACGGTAAAAAGGAGAGAGAAGAAACAGTAAACCAAGCTCCGCACATGCGACCAAAGTGGACTGAGCCTATGATACCCTGCTATGTAGGTAAATCAGATTAAAAACTAACCTTATGCAGCTCTGTCAACGGGTCCACTTCCCCCGATTCCTTCTCCTTCACAGACGCAGCCAGTAATGGGGGAATGAGGAACAGGAACCAGGCACGCATCTCTGAAAATAGTTGATCAATTATTGATTTGCTCGTAATTTCATCAAATCAGCAGACATGAACGATCCTGCTTTACTGAATAAGCTGCGAATTCCGCATGACTCAGAATAAAAACTAGTAGGAAAATAACGGACGCAGTTTGGGCGGCCAACAGAGGTGGGGGAGGGAGCATTGCACTTGCTTCATTAATTCCGGTTTTCAAGTCCTCACTCGTTTGACACGCCTGCCGAGCCACTTAGAGGCAAATGCCCGCCCCCGCCCCCCTTCAACGCAACTGCGCTAAGTAGCACTTCAAAACATGAGGAAATCCGCAGACTATAGAGAGACAACAATCAACAAAAACGACAATAAATAGAATTCAGCTGATTTTGCGATCATTCCTTTTTGAAAAGGTGACGCGTCAGCGGGCCACTTGCTCGCAGCGCAGAGTTTAAGCATGTTGTAGTGATGGAAGTCTTAAAGGGAATTGAAGCGTCTTTGGTAGAAAGAGGGAAGGGTATAAGGCCGACAGCGATGTCCTAAATCCCTCCCATCGTCCTTCAAAACGCTTGTACTTCCTCCGCATCTTAACTGCTATGCCCACTGCCCTTGACTTAGTTGCCGCTTGTTTAAGGAAATGGCAGTTACCTGGATAATTCAGTTTCCGGTCAGAATGAAATGAAGCACAAGATGAACGCAGTCACTGAAAAAGGAAAGTACCAGTGGAGATGCAAAAACAGCAAGATGGTCCACGCATTCTGGGTGCGTTATTGATTAGAGGATTTTTACAGTAGCTGCACCCCACATCTCGGAGGTAGGGGTTGAGGGGGAGGGACGGCGGCGTACTACGCTCGAGCATGGATGTTTTTCCCCGTAGAATATTTCAGCACTGTTCGGCTCGGAGGGCACTGTGCATTTTCGCTGGTTTTTTTGTCAGCTCATGTTGTTGGTAGTACGTGTGAACTTTTGAAATAAGTCCGTCCTTGGAAAGGCGGCGCATTTAAGTTTGAACTTGCCTTGCCTTGGTACCACTCGGTTGCCCCTACCAAGCCGAATTGCGCCGATTATTTCTGGCTAAGACAACATGTCATGCCTTGCTAGAAGTTGGATAAATGGTTGTCTTAAAAACGGCAGCATCCCACCGTAACACGCAGCCGTTGCCATAACACGTTCAAATGAAGTGCGCAGCACGCCCCGACCATTTCCTTGATATGACTTGAAAGCTGGCAATAAAAAAAGGGGCCGTTGCCATAACACGTTCAAATGAAGTGCGCAGCACGCCCCGACCATTTCCTTGATATGACTTGAAGCTGGCATATAAAAAGGGCTTCAGAGTAAGAATAAAAAAGAGCAGATGGGAAAGGCTGGCTGAGGAGGCGTTAGTAGAAGTTCCTGTCTAGAACTGGAATAACGGTAGAGTAAGACCACCTTTTTGCACAAAATGATTGGTTCGCCTTCCCGCATCTGCTCTCCCTTCTGGGCTTTTATTGTTAGGCGACAACTACCATCCCCCATTCCTGCTTGCACGGGGAATCCTTTCATTGCTTTCGGTTCCTCATCTAGCCGCTTTGGGCCAAATACGACTAAAAATCCTGTCACCATAGCTCCAGTACAGGACGAGGGTAAAACGGCCGTATCCTCACAATGACTGATTGGGACTGGACTTGCTCCAAAGGCTGTAGCAAAGCAAATAATGTGCTGAACCACATACAAATACAGGGATAGAGAAGTAATAGTGACGATGAATCGATACGAAGAAATGATAAGCGCGCATGTGCAATGACCCATTAGAGCCGCGCCGGTCACTAGGGACCAGATCGTCGAAAGAGTCGCAATAATAAAGAGGAGGCGGGCGAGGCGTTCTTCGGGCGATCTTATAAGATTTTCTAGAAGGGCCTCCGATCAATAGCTAATCTTCTCTTATAGACTCAATCGTCTATTTGCTGTCTATTCATTTTATCGAACATTCCAATAAGCCAGAGAAGGATGAACCGCCTCTTCGTGAATAATGCGGAAAAAAAGGTGAAAATAAGTGCCCAAAATATTGTTTAAATGCTCTGGTGTCCAAGGTTACTCGAGCTTTCCACAAAGGAGAAAGCAGACGATGTAAGCCATTGCCTTCCTGGTATGCGCCAATGAATTGTACTTTCACAGCAGAAAGGTGGGTGACTCTGATAGGTGATTGCTGCGGCCGCAATGGCCCTACGAGGCAGAAGTCAGTGTTTCCAGAAGTTCAGACGAGTATGCTACCATATAACCGATATGGAAGCCAGAAAGGAGTATTTTTCATAACCTAGCAACTTCGAAAGGGGCTATTTTTCATAGCCTAGCAGATTTTATTTGGTTCTTCTATCTCTTCTCTTGTTTGCTTGTGCTACATTCCAATGAGCAATGTACACTACATGCATTTTTTGCTGCGAATTCTCCATTCCATTTAGAGTCTCGGCACGAGGTCCGAATGTGGCCCAGGAATAGCACGACGCGCATACGAATCGCTGTCAATGCAGGGTGGCAGGAGGCTTCTCAAAGCGATAGCTATGTCGAAAAGGGTCGAGAGATCTGAAAAAAATTGCTTCCAAATTTTTAGGCTCTGTTGTTACGAAAATGTAATCTGACCAAAAGATCATTTCTGTGCCGCGATTCCTCGTATTCCAGCCCGCCCTGCCGCCGCCTCCGAGTGTGATTGGTAAAGGAACCCGACCTCTGTGCTTCTTCCTGAAGCCCTCTCCAATGCAACCCAAACCTTTTCAGTCAGATAATAAAGGAGCAAATCAGAAATCCCCGTATCTTTTGAAGTAGGCATGTTGTAGCGGCTAAGCAATGGTTTTAGCGGGTGATTCGTTGCTCGGTTTTGGACTGGATACGTTTCCCACCATATCTCCGGAAAAAGGGCTGAAATACAATAGTGATGATCCGTGGACCAGCGATAAGATACAAGCTGTGACCCCTCAAAATCGCAGGCCTGAACCTCCACTCCAGTTCACCTACCTCCTCACATTTTACCGCTTGCCCTTTCTAAAAGCTGCGAATAGCCACTTTGGTTCCTCTTTTGCGGCTTCGAGGATTTCCTTTATAGTCGTGTGATAAATGTCTCCCATGGGAAACACATTCGGCATATATTATCCGGCAAATGTAGAGAACAAATCGCCCATCAATCATTCTGCTACGAATTCTGCCAATGAGTTGAATGGTACAAACATAGTAAGAAGAGAGGTGATCTAGGATCGAAAATGAAGGCTCCAGGACAGCCTAGTCAAAACGTGTAAACAAGGATGTGCAACAGAAAACTTGGCGCTGTCCGGCTTGGAGGGAGCATAATGGAACTTCCGCTAGTTCCTTTGTCAGTTCAGGTTAGCACTTTAGTGAGACCTGTAAACTTCTGTGAAGCTGCGAAATTGTTAGAGTGAGCCACTTTGCCCACAGTAATTCACAGAGGTTCACAATGGCCTGTAGTAACTTAAGAGTAGCTGGTGCCCCCAACAAGCCGAACTGCGCCGGAAATTGTTATTGTTCGCATTACGTTACGCTTCGAATAAACAATGAACAGCAGCTAGAATAGGCCGTAAATAACGATTGTAAACCTAGATAGAGCTGGAGAGCTCATAAGTTAATGCTCAGGAGAGCGAGCACAACTTGCTAGGAGGGCTCGGAAAACTGAGAAGCTTAGGGAGCACAAAGAAGCGATAGTCTCCGAGACCATTATGCGGCGAATATTGGGAAGACTCAAGTAAGCAACGAAATCTTGGAATAGAAACAAGTTTCAGGCAAGGTGTGGATGCTCGTGGGAGTGGAAGAAATGCAGAAAGAAGATGAGGAGTGCTCGCTCGTAGGGAAAAGAGTGAAAAATTGGACTGTTCTCGAAAAAAGAGAGAGAATTGGAGTTTGAAGGTGTCTACGCTGAACAGGCACTTCCCACCTTTTTACTTTATGAGACAAGAGCGGCGCACTCATGAGGGAGGCGCAGCGTTAGGACCAATTTGCCCATACAATTTAGAGCGGACTGTAACTTCGTGGGGGGGAACAGAGGAGTTAGTAAAGGTTGCTTTGTCCAAAAATGAAGTTTGGCATCCTGATTCGGGATATCATACAGCAGTCGTTGCCAAAACACGACGGACTTCTGAGCTCGCTGAAGACTTGCTCCCACTGGTAGTTACCTCTCAACAAAGATGTAGCATTGCGAAATGGCCAGGCGCTAAGGTCAGCGAAAGGCTTTATGTCTGTCATCCTGGCCAGGAAGTTCCGGATGTCATAATCGTGTTCGGGAGGCCAACTACCTCTGGGAACAATTTTCTAACCAGATCAGATTTTGAGGAAAGCTACGAAACTGAGGCAGCAGAGGGTACAAAAAATGCTAGGATTCCATCGGACTGTAGAGTCTCCTCATGGATAGGATTAGAAGTTGGTAACCTTCCTTTGGTGAAGTTGTCACTCTCCGATCCCCTCTCCTCTACCCAAACTGCCGTTTGAGGAGCGAGCCGTAAGGATGCCATAATGTGCCATTTCCCTAATACCCAAAAGCACTCGAGAAGCGATTCAAGAGCAATAAATGGGATGAAAGATTGAGCAGCCTGAGAATTGAAGCCATGGGAAGCATCGCGTGAGAGATTCATTGACGTCGAAATTGGAGAAGGCAAAGGCGACGAGATGGCGGCCGCTAGGAGCGATTAGCGGCTGTCTGACCACCAGACTCATATCATGGGTTCACTGGCGATGGTGACAACAGCAGGTGGGCTCTTAGAGTAAGCTGTCAATCGTGGTGTCTCAGGTGCGGCAGCCATAATGAACACTGCATGTCTTCATTCAAATACTTTACTGCAGTAAACTTGTTCGGTTAATCCATACGAGTTTATGCTGAGATCGGAAAGCCAGAAGCGATCGGGGCGCAGTTCGGCTACGGGGAGGGGGAAGAGGAAGGGAGGTGAGCGTTTTCGCACTTGCGCTTTTTCAACTCAATTCGGTTCACGTCTAACTCTGGTGGAAGCTGTGAATCTGTAAAGCTGGAGCAAGCTCGAGCTTCACTGGGTGAACCCTGTAAACTCTTGCAAGATCACGAAAAGGCTCTCTGGTTGGTCGACACTGAAAGAAGCAAAAGAAAATATGCCCCCTCCCCACTGCAGTCTCTGCCTACCGAGAATTTGGAAGGAGGGAGGGATGGAGGGAAGTTTTGTGGGAATGCTGGCCCTACGCGTTCAAAATTTCCAAAGATTTTGAGTCTGGAGGGTTCCCACACGCATTGCTGCTGTGCCCCGCCCCCCCCCACACCCCTCCCCAGTGAATTCTTCCTCCGCTCAGTGGTTGTCAAATTCAGACCCACACGGTTTCAGTTTGTACAGTTTACACTGCGCATACATAGTAAGCAAATATGTAAGATGAATTCCAGCAGAAATTCGTTAGCACATGGTACTTTGAGAGCATGGGAAGCTCCTGTAGATCTAAATGAAGGGAAATAAACCTGCCATTGTGTGCATGTAGGGAAAATAGTCCGACTGCAATGTCTGACGAACAGCTGATTTCCTCTGAAACTAATGGCTTTGATTGTTTCCGGGAAAGTCGCGGAGGCTAAAGGCTGAAGCGCATCGCGCTTTCATGTTTCATTGAACTCCCAAGGCGTTATAGTCCCTATTCCTCAAGTCATCGGTTCTCGCCCAGGTCAATCACGCCTCTCATTCTCCGAGACAGTAAATCGGTACCATATTCGTCTGGGTGGATAAAAACGCTGATATGTACATTGGCTGGAACTGATAAGTCATTGTGTGGGCCATATTGCACATAGTGGACCACTTCGATTTCCGACTGACGGAAAGTTAAGTTGGCCTACGTATGCCTCCAGAACAGCTGTACAGCGGCAAAAGTTCTATGTATCCTTTATCCACTACTCACTATTCCAAATTGGCCCTTGAATGTTCTTCAGAGCTCATCGAGCTCTACTCGATTCTGCGCCAATCCGCCAAATACCTACTCTTCATCGAGCGTTTTCAAATTATGGAAATAACTGCCGACAGCGGAGGAGGCATCGATGGATGTGCAAAAGCGATGAGTTTAATTAGTGTGAGCACCCATGGCTGGTCGGTTTCCGCACTGAATAATAGAATTGCTGAGAACTTCTAAATATTCTATTGGGGAAGAACGGTCGGTCAAATTCGTGAGACCTGAACATCCAGCAAAGTCCGTGGGAAGTATGATTTTTCGGTAATTACGCTTGACATTCCCCTAAATCTTCCACAAAGCTATGTTGAATCCCTGGAACAAGCTTCATAGAGACGAGGTTGAAAAAGCTATTTGAAGGCACAAACCAGGTACCCGCACAAGCGGTTCAAGGTGGGTGTGGCAGATTACATTCTGTAGCTGCTAGCGCTCAGGCTAACTAGCATTTTAGCATTGCTAGCAACGGCCTTCTAACTCGAATCTGTCAGTTCCTGGTTTGAATGTCGTGCATGTGCGCGGCTTTGCAGTGGGCGCCTGGCTCTATCACCAAAACGTGAACCCTCATCGGCCAACAAGGAATTCTTGACAACAATTCTTGCAAGACCTCTCTCTCGTCCAGGATTTTCTAAGTCTGGATTTTCCGACTTTTAACCTTTTGAGCTGATGAAAAATTGGGA